TATACTTTTTATTATCCTATTTGATGTCCTGCTTTTGTGATTTATTTATAGTCTTAGCATAAGCAGTATAAGAAATTCAGGAAAAACTAATATAGTCACTGCGGTAAAAGAACAATACCACGCTTGATTTTACCACCCAAAATAATTGCTTAAATAATTTAGTCTATAGTTTTCATAATTTCGTACAATATAGTTGCTTATTGACAATTCTAAAGTACATTTGTCTCACTAATAATTTAATAAACATTATTGTTTATGTTCAAATCTTAGGTGAATTAATTTGTAAAATCTAGTTCATATGAGCAGTCTTCAATCTTAGATCAACTTGCTGAATATTCCAAATCTAAGGCCAAGCAAATAAATTTTTGACACATGAAACAAATTTCTAAATCATTTTTTTAATAAGTAGAAATATTTTTTGTATTGTTAAATAATTTAGTAAAGTAAACCAAAATGCGACATGCATAAGTTGAAAAAAATGATGAATATGTAATGTTGGACTCATTGCGTTATTTTTTAAACTCAATTATATAATTTCTTTTGCCAAACATATATAACTTAATAATATATAATATTCAATGTCAAACAATGATATGTTTTTTTTGTATTTATTTCTATTTATTTCCACAATATTACTATAGTTTTATCGTTCATTAGATCCTTAAAAAACGATTTTTAAACGAACTTTAAAATAAATCCGAATAACCGTTTGGGAGGAGTATGGAATCATACACCCGTACAGAAGAATTTTATTTATATAAAATATATATATATATATATATATATATATATACATTAGTTATGTTTAAAGATTGGGCGTTACATCAACAAAAAAATGTATGAATGTTTTTTTACATCCCTACGATTCGGCTAACATTCTGGCTTTGATTTAGTGGTATATACTATCAAATATAATAATAATTAAATTAAGTAAATATTTTATAACAGTTTAAGAATAAAAATAATAATAATAATAAACTAATCTAAAAGAGAGAGAAAGGGAAATAGCAAACTGGGTACGGTTGTGCCATGCTTTTTTATCAGTAATTATTTTGTTAATTTACAGTTAGTTGGGAGAAAAGTAAATTAAATGGTTATTTTGAACATTTGTTTACATGGAAGTACTGAAATATTATCCTTAAATATGATGAATATTATAAAAAAAGGGCGAGTGTCACAACCGTCTACACCACCAGGGACAGTAGAGAGAGGCATAAACGCCAAAATAGGTATAAACGCCAAAATAGATTTTATTATCGGAAACGATTTTATTGTCAGAAATATGTAACGCAACACAACATAAGCATTTAAACAATGCTTATGCACATAATATAACAATATATGATTTTTTAAACAAAGCTAATAAGAAATTGTGTAAAACTTGTTTTTTCTATATTGATTTTTTTCCTTTTTCTTTTGCATTTTGTCTTATTATTCGTTAAGTATTTTTATCTGTTTAATTTTCACCCAAAAAGGACAAGAAAAACATGTCACAATCGTTCTCACAAAATTAGTCACAACCGTACGCAACGCACACATTTGAAAACAAATCATCACTATGACTGAGCTAAATTATCTACGCAAAAACTAATTGCTGGAAATTAACTACTGATGTTCAAGTATTAATAAAATAATAAAAAAATTAACTACAATGTTCTTTAAAAGCAATTTGGTCTACAGATCATGTTAACGTAGTGCTCCGACTGAAAGTAATGATGTAAAGTTGTTCATACAAACACATACATCTTTTTTTCATGGACCCTTTCTCAAAATCAGTGTAGTTCAGCTGTATATATAAGCAGTTCTGTCAGGGCTAGTGCCGAGGGCGGCAAATTTTCTGGGACGGAAAAATTTGGAGAGTGAGAAAAAAATGTTCAGAAACCTTTAAAACGTAAAGATATACAAAAATTTTCATTTTGATTTTGTTGCGATTTCTGTAACTTATCCTATGGGAAGTTAAGAAGTTCGTCGAATGTGCCTGTGAAGAAAGTCCTTAATGCAAACTTTATAATTCTTTTTGTTTGAACAAATATGAATATTTTGTTACATTATTATAGTATGCAATGCATAATAAATTTTCTGCAATCATATATTTTGATTTAAAAAAAATAGACATAAAAACTATTGAAGTAAATTTCAGGAATGGGACGGCATTTGTATCCTAGGGCGCCAAATTTCTAAATGCGGCCCTTGCTATAAAGAATAATATACTGAATATTAAAATATTTTAAAATGATTAACAAAAATATCATCAAGCAAAGCAATAGCCTAATATTAAACATTCACACGAAATCAATCGTATAACAAAAAAACGTGACAATAAAACAAAATAAAGTATAAAAAATTTCTCACACAAATCATTGAAAAAACTCCTTAGAAAACAAAATATTAAACTAGTGGGGTGGGTGGCATCGTGCCTTAAGGCAAATTGCTGGAACTTCCCGTACCGTAACGAAACGTTCGAGGAATATTGAATGTTTTCAAATAGATTATTATAAATATTGTATATTGTCTAATATTTATAATAATTATATAAACTGAATTGCAGAGTTGAAATTATTTGTTTAAAGTATATTAGAACTATAGTCAGAATTAAAAATAAAATCTGAATTATTTTCGATATACAAAAAATTAAAAAAAAAAAAAAAAAAAAAAAAAAAAAAAAAAATGGTACAAATTTTTTTTTTCCAAAATTAATTATTTTGTTAAGACAAGCAGAAAGTTCTTTGAATCAATTGAATCGGACGCTTAGTTCTCTCAAAAACTGCCATTTTTTGTACATTTAGCTCTGTATCTCCGAAATGGCTGGGCCTGCCTTTGCGAAAAACTAATAACCTTTTCTCCCAATCATTACTAATGGAATGTTTTTTAGATCATTCAAATCGGATGCTCCGTTCTCTCAAAAACTCGATTTCTATTTTCTGCACTCTTTGCTCCTTATCTCCGTAACTGCTGGACCTGTCTTTGCCAAAAACTAATCAGCTCTTCTCCTTATTAATAGGAATCGAATGTTTTTTAAACCATTCAAATCGGTTGATCCGTACGCCCGAAAACGTGGACGAAAATTTGTATCCATACATACATACACACACACACACACACACACACACACACACATCCATTTTTTCTGAGGTATGCCAAAACGTTCAGAAACCTTCAAAACGTCGAGAAATGTAAAAATTTTCAATTCCGATTTTCGGCCCATTACAATAACTTACCCTACGGGAAGTTAAAAATAGTAGTGTATGGCATCGCGCCTTAAGGCAAATTATAATTATTATAATTATATAGATTATTATAAATACTGTAGCATTTGTCTAATATTTATTTATAAGAATTATATAAACTGAATTACAAAGCTAAAGTTATTTATTTAAAGTATATAAGTGAGCTTTAAAACTTTAGCCAGAATTAAAATTGAAATCTGAATTATTTTCAATACACAAAAAAATGACAATTTTTTTTTCAAAAGCATTTGTTATGTCAACACAAGCAGAAAGATTTTTGAATCATTCAATTCGGATGCTTATTTCTCTCAAAAAATGCCATTTTTTGTATCTTTGAAATGGCAGGGCCTGCCTTTGCCAAAAACTAATAACCATATCTCTCAATCATTACTAATTGAATGCATTTTAGATCATTCAAATCGGACGCTCCGCTCTCAAAAACTCGATTTGTATTTTCTGCATTCTTTGCTTCGTATCTCCGTAACTGCTGGACCTGCCTTTGTCAAAAACTAATCAGCACATCTCCCTATCAATAGAAATCGAATGTTTTTTGAAACATTCAAATCGGTTGATCCGTGCGCCCGAAAACGTGAACGAAAAATGCGGGCGCACAAAACACACACATCCATTCTTTCTGAGGCATGCTAAAATGTTCAGAAACCATTAAAGCGTGAAAATATGCAGAAATTTTCATTTTTGATTTTGGGCCCATTACTATAACAACCCTACGGGAAGTTAACTAGTGGTGTATGGCATCGTGCCTTAAGGCAAATTGCTGGAACTTCCCGTACCGTAACGAAATGTTCGGGGAATATTAAATGTTTTCAAATAGATTCTTATAAATACTCTATAACCTATATATGTTTACATCTAATTTAAAACGAAGGACATTATCTCATATTCATAAGAATTATATAAACTGAATAGCAAAGTTAAAATTATTCGTTTGAAGTATATTAGTGAGCTTTAGAACTTTTGCCAGAATTAAAATTAGCATCCGAATTATTTTCGATATTCAAAAAAAAAATTTTGAAAACTAAAATAAAAATTTAAAAGCAATTTTTTGTCAGCACAAGAAATTTTGAATCGGATGCTTAGTTCTGTCGAAAGCTGCCGTTTTTCACGTTTTGCCCGGTATCTCCAAAGCGACTGGACCTGCCTGTGCTAAAAACTAGTCAGCACATCTCCCTATCAATAGGAATCGTGGTTTCCTATCAATAGGAAACGTGGACGAAAAAATGCAGGCATAAAAAACACACACACACTTCCATTTTTTTGAAATATGCCAAAATATGCAAAAACCTTCAAAAGCAAAAAAGAATATTTTCGATTATCGGCCCATTACCATAACTACCCTACGGGAAGTTAAATATAATAATTTAGTATTTGTTTGAAGATAGAATTATTATCGCAATAATAATTATTATTGTACAAAATTACTCAAATAGTACAAAATTAAATTTTAGATTTGAATACATTTTTTTCATTTACTTAAATTATTAAATTAAATGTTTTTTTTATAGTCATAATTCTCGAATTAAAAATAATTACTGTTTATATTGTTATCTGATAGTTTTACTTGTATTCAAGCTTATATTTCTTAACGAATTGTTTTATTATAATCGTTTTATTTAAACAAAATTATTCGTTACTAATTAATTTTTTCATAGTTAGCAGTACCGCTATTTGACAGTTTTTGTGTCAATAACTTCAAGGCGGTCTCTGTTGTTGGCGACCATGAAGATAATTGCTCCGCTGAAAATCAACGCTGAAAAGAGATTACTGTTTGGTATGTTTATATCGCTCAACATTTGTTTACTTTTTAGTGTAACGATTTGTTATTTATTTGCTGATGATTTTTAAAATTTTAATATAATAGCATTTTAAATATGTCAAAACAGTCTAAAAAGGCGGCTGAATATAAATTAAACGATTTAGTATTTGCAAGAGTTCGAGGTTATCCTCCTTGGCCCGCTAGAGTAAGTTAAAAATCTATCTTTAATATCAACATTAATATCGTAATAAAGTTAGTTTCAATCTTAGATCGTAGAAACAGGTCTAAAATATAAAGTTATCTTTTATGGAACAGCCGAAACGTAAGTTTTCAATGTCATAATTTAACTCACGTCAACATTGTTGTCATTATAAATAATTCCATTTCAGAGGATATATTAAAATAGAAGATTTATTTAACTATGAAGAAAATCGTGAATCTTTTAAGAAAAAGTTTGCGAAAAGAAAAAATTATCAATTATCTCTGAATGAAATTACAGTTGCATGGAACAGAAGACAGGTGTTACAAGACTTTTTACCAAAGGTCAGTACAATGAAAAATAAATATTATTATCAAATATATTTTATACAAGTGCAATTGTTATTTTTCTAGTCCAACTCTGTTCTTGATACTGATGTTAAGGATGTGAAAGAAACAAAAGTAATTGAAAACAAAAAACAGATTGCGCAAAGCGAAGATGCTATAAAACCTATAAAACCAGATCAAATTCATCAACTCAGTAATGCTAAAAACTCACTGAAAAAAGAGGTGAATACTTGATATATTTGTTGATCTCTGTTTCATCATTTTCAATTGGTAACTACTACAGAAAGTTATTACCTGTATTTCATGAATAGTATACTTTATTATGTGCTGAACTAGTAGTACAATCTTGATCAATCATATTAAACTAATTCTATTCACAATATAAAAATATTTGTAGGAGGAGCCAAAACCAAGTACTTCACAGAGCAATAATAAGAAAAGGTATATGGAAATAATAAATTAGTTACTGCGTTTAGATGAACCTAATCATAATTCTTATCAACAAGGACTCGCACCGATTCAGAATCTTCAGTTCCTTCAAAGCGATCCAAAGTGCAACATTTGAGAGATTTACTAGATGACTCATACTTACAAGGCACTATATTAAAGTTTGAAAGAAAAGGAATTCTTTACACAATGTATTCAATAGCAGAACTTCAAAAGATAAAGGCTAAGGTAATTGAAATACTTATATTTAAGTATAACAATAGCTTTTTATTAAATCATAGACAATTTTTTTTGTGTTTGAGTATAAGAAATTATACTTTCCAAAACACTAAATTGATTTATTTTGTTTTGGTTGAGGACTTGTACATATTTCATTAAATTGCTGCCATTATTATTAATCTCTGTTTAAACTATAATATAGAAATATATAATATGCACATTATACATATATTATTTTTATTTCAGCATGAAGAGATCTTGAGTATGAAGGAAAATGACAATTTTAATGCAGGTTTATATTTATATATTATTATATATATATATATATATATATATATATATATATAATATAATATAAAAGTAATTAATATAAAATTGAATAAATTGTAGAAGAACAATTTCTTTTCAGATACTTATGAATTCATTTGCGATTATTCTGTGGCATTAGTGTATGAACCAATAATTCATCCTGTAGTTTTTGGATTGCACATAACTAAACATAGACCTGACGAATTTGATGGCCCACTGGCCAGACTTGAATGGGAATCGGGAATGATCCAAGATGTGAATCATATCATTTTAGACTTAAGTATGTTTTGACAATAGTAAATGCATGCAAAAAAGTAATGAAGATAAAAGGAATTGGATATGTGAGTTTGCTTGTGCAGTATGATTTTCTTACATCATTTTTATATATGCTGTATGATAATTTTTGCATTATCTTATAATGTTGTTACTAGAGTAACTTTAGGAATATTTCTAACACAAATCGGCAAATATAAGTAAACACAGTATATACAACAATTCTCAGGGACCACTGTAAAAGCTTATCTTAAGGGGCAATATGTTTTGAAGAATAGGTACTTGCGTAATGCAGTATTTTATGCAAATTGTTTTAAGCCTGTTTGTCTTAACGTAGTTGTAGAAAATCCTGAATTCTTTAGTTTGTGGTGGTATATATCAAACAATAAATCCAAATAATATTAAATTTGATAAAAATTATGACGTTTTGGATAATGATATTTCATCATCAGACTTTTGTCAAAATTAAAATACATATATAATAAACAAGAATACAAATTCAGAAATATTAAAGTTTAGATTATTAAGATTATATAACAACATTGTGTAAACTGTGGAACCGAAACCCTAAATAAGATTTCTAAGACCACAGTTAAGAATAGTGTTCAAATTGCTCCAAGTTTTCAAGAAGACTTATTGTTGAACAATAAATTAAGAATTTTCAAAATTGATAGACTTTGAAAGGCCGTTCTTTAAAAAAATGTACTAAGGTGCCTTGGTAAGTTCCATTAAAAGTTCATACGTTTAGTCTGGATTGCAAAATGGTACAATGCTTCTTAGTTTCATACTGACAAAACTAGTAAAAAAAACAAAAATTTAGAAATAACACAAAGTTTGCTAATGAATTTCACTCATAATTACTTCAAGAAATTATGCATATATATATATATATATATATATATATATATATGCATATGCATATGCATATGTGTCCCATTTGCTGCCATGTCTAGTTTTGAAATATAGTTTTATTATTTTTTGAGACTAATTTTAATTGTAAACCTATGTGCCTATAATTATTTTTTTTTTTTGACAATGTCTTTTGTTATTTGAGTTTTGTTTTGCAGGGAATACCTGTAAAAATATCCAGGAAGTTGTTGATGACTATTTTTTGGATTTAACTGACTTTGAAGAATTGATGGGAACATTAAAAATTATTTGTGACACAGGTAATAAAATTATTGGTATGCATGTTAAACACATTGTTTGTAAATATATCAATTTTCTTTATAGAGAAGTTCACAGATGTTCAAAGAGAAGCTATAAAGCGAGAGCTTGATATTTTAAAAATAGTTTTGTCTATTCGTGAAAATGTCCCCATTGAGATGAAAGATGAAAATCATTTGACAAAGGCCTATGAACTATTAAAGCTTATTCGGGGTATGTTTTCCAATTGTTAAAATTTGTAACTGACTTTTTATGTTGTATTTTTATTTGTTCTATCTTCTTTTAAGCTAACTACATGCCTGATTATATGCCTGTTATGAAACATCCTGTAATAGTTGAGTGTTTTTTTAAATTGACTAAATATTCATGTAAATATGAATTAGATAATAAAGAAATCATTGACGATATTAAAAAGGAAGCAGGAGCCATACTACACGATATTAAGCAAACTTTGAAGGTAAAGGCTTTAAATTTTGTGTATGATAAATTTGTGATTGATCTTAATAATTGATACAATCAATTTATACCTTTCAATACTAATTTTCTGATATACAGAAATGATCTTTGATGTATTACATTTTTAATATTTGTGCATTTGATGACATGAAATATTATTCAATACAATATTTTGATTTTTAGGTACATATTAAATTGTTCATCTTTTTGTATTGCTTTATGTGTAACTAAAATAATTAACTACCAACATGTTTATATTCACAGTTACATATGCAAGACGAAGATTTTAACACATCTTTTTGGAAGACCTATTTATCTTGTTTAAAGCAATTTCGTTCTGCACTTGCCTCTGTATGTCGGTATGATTTTATTGCTTTAACTTCTATAGAAGGTAAATATATTTTAGTTTAAATTTGAGAGAAATTAAATAGTTTATTAATTTTTATTTTAAACACAAATTCACAAATTGAACTTGAATTTGGTTTGTTATGCATGATTTTTGATATATCATTATTATTATTTTACCATGCATTTATGTCATAGAGTATGAAAGGAAACTGAAAGAAGAAAGTACTATTCAACAGAATCATGTTAATAAATGTCTGACACGAGATAGTGGCGAAGGTAAGCAATCTCTTTTATTTATTTGAACATTGATGTATATTTAAGGAATTTACTAATTTGCAGATAGTATAGATAAACACAGTCATACAGCAGCAGATATTCATAATGTAGATAATCAATGTGAAGAAACAAAAATATGACAAACGAAGTCATAAACCAATGCCCCTCCATACTTTATTTACTATTTTTTTACTAACGTATGGAATTAATAGCAAAAAAAAAAAAAAAAATATTAGACACATTTTACATGTTATATACAAACTTAACAATTTTATGAAATTTGTACCCTTATATTTATATTTGGTGATTTTGTTTTAATTTTATTTATATCATTCCTTAACTTATAAATTTGTTGTTTTGTCATTTTAAAATATATTTTTTATCAAAGACTGAAAGTTTAATTAATTATTGACATTTTCATACCTTTTTTGCTTGCAGCAGAACTTTCACTATAGGTGTGACATTTAATGCTTCTGATGTTTGTATAATTATCTATACCTTATTTGTTTATCTTATACCTTTAATTTCGACATCGTAATTTTTTTAAAATATCACTGAATAAATAAAATGAATAATAAAAGATATATTGTTTGGAAACATACAGTACACGGGCGGCTGCGTGAACGATGCTGCTTTATTTTGTCGAATAATATTACATTGAACAAATAGCTCAAAATATTACGGTTCGTTTAAAATAATCGAAATAGTCTCAAAATTACATTGATAATACTGTCTTAATCGTGTTTGACACCGCCGTTGGCTACGGCAGCAGTTCTTGCACCCGCCTGCTCTCGTCGGCTAATTTGGAACCAGACTACGAGTCGTCCAGCAAGCATGAACAAAAATACCAGAGCAGGCGCTGAGCGTTCGAAAGGATCACTCACCATGTGATGCGAATATACAGCGAGACACATCAATGCTAATAGAATTCCGTTCGCAGAATTTTTAATCAAATCTACAAAGAAATAAAAGTTAAATTAGTTATATTAACAGCACATAATATATTTTAAGTATTAATAGTATTGATTTTTTTTTTTAAAAAAGTCCCAAGATATATTGCTTATATATGATATATCATGTATATATATTATATATATATATATTATATATATATATATATACACATATGTGTATATATATACACATATGTGTATATATATATACATATGTGTATATATATACATATGTGTATATATACATATATATATATATACATATTTGTGTGTGTTTTACTAATTGATTCTGAACCGTCGTAAACAAGAGATTGTACTCAAATTAGATATGATCATTTGTTTAAAACTAAATAATAATATACAATTGAAACGGTAACAAATTCAAACTAGTGGGGTGGGTGGCATCGTGCCTTAAGGCAAATTGCTGGAACTTCCCGTACCGTAATGAAATGTTCGAGGAATATTGAATGTTTTCAAATAGATTATTATTAATATTGTAACATTGTCTAATATTTATAAGAATCATATAAACTGAATTGCAGAGTTGATATTATTTGTTTAAAGTATAATAGAACTATAGTCAGAATTAAAAATAAAATCTGAATTATTTTCGATATACAAAAAATTTAAAAAATTTTTTTAAAAAAAAAAAAAAAAACTGGTACAATTTTTTTTTTTCCAAAATCAATTATTTTGTTAAGACAAGCAGAAAGTTCTTTGAATCAATTGAATCGGACGCTTAATTCTCTCAAAAACTGCCATTTTTTGTACATTTAGCTCTGTATCTCCGAAATGGCTGGGCCTGCCTTTGCGAAAAACTAATAACCCCTTCTCCCAATCATTACTAATTGAATGGTTTTTAGATCATTCAAATCGGATGCTCCGTTCTCTCAAAAACTCGATTTCTATTTTCTGCACTCTTTACTCCTTATCTCCGTAACTGCTGGACCTGCCTTTGCCAAAAACTAATCAGCTCTTCTCCTTATCAATAGGAATCGAATGTTTTTTAAATTATTCAAATCGGTTAATCCGTACGCCCGAAAACGTGGGCGAAAATTTGTATCCATACATACATACACACACACACACACACACACATCCATTTTTTCTGAGGTATGCCAAAACGTTTAGAAACCTTCAAAACGTCGAGAAATGTAAAAATTTTCAATTCCGATTTTCGGCCCATTACAATAACTTACCCTACGGGAAGTTAATAAAGTTTAAAGTACGGATGGCTCTGCACATGCAAAGGAGTTCGTTGAAATGATATTTTCTCTGTTTAATTTTAGTTAATGTTTAATTCTAACCATTTTTTTTTTTTTCATTTACGAAAAGTCTACGTCAAAATTGTATCTTTGCTATTGCTTGTTACCTTATATATTAGTTAGGAAGGAGAAAAATGCTGAATGAAGAAATTTCAGATGTAATTTTGAAACTTTGAACTTCTATTTGCAAACTTACGAAAAATATAATTGTTTTCATTTTATAATTTTAGTGATATAGACCATTCCGTGCAACGACTTTATTCGCGTAAAAATTGACTCTCACCACTCTGAAATGCGTTTTGATTCAACATTAAGCATGGTATTGACTACTTATTCAATTTAGTTTATCCACATGTTTAGTTGATTAGATTATTATATTATAATCTATAATATAATATAATCTATATCATTATTTCAATTATTGAAACTTACTAGTTAGGCAACATACAGTTCAAATTAACTTTCTAAAAAAGAAGTTTGTTTTCGTCGGAAAACCGGATTCGCTTACTTTATTCCTTTGAAAATGCTTCAAATTGTTTGGCAGAAACATTGGAAAAATATTCGCGATCGCACATAATAATATACTTCTTTTATTTGTTCGCTTTTTTTTAACTTCCCGCAGGGTAAGTTATAGTAATTACAAAAAAATCGAAAATGAAAATTTTTATATATTTCTACGTTTCAGAGGTTTCTGAACATTTTGGTATACCTTAGAAAAATGGACGTGTGTGTGTGTGGTGTGTGCAGATACAAATTTTCGTCGACGATTTTGGGAACACGGTTCAATCGATTTCAATTATTCAAAAAACATTCGATTGCTGTTGATAACGTGCTGATTAGTTTTTGGCATAAGCAGGTCTAGCCGTTTTGGGCTAGATACGGGGCAAAAAGTGCCGCAAACGGTAACGCAGTTTTTAAGAGAACGGAGCGTCCGATTTGAATAATAAAAAAAAATTTCACTTGTATTGACAATATGAAGAACTGATCGGAGATCTGGTAAAAAAAGTAAAAAGTGAAAAAAGTAAAAAAAAAAGCCATTTGGCGGTCAAAAATGATCATTAGATATATACATATCAAATTATCAGATATTTTATAGAGATTTTAACAATGAGTATAAATTTTGTTTACAATCCTATGGGTTCCGTACCAATGTTCATCCGTTAGACGGCAACGCGGCGCTTACGCGCTTCGATATTTCGTCTCTATGCAGTTAAAGCAGTACGATTGCTTTGAAAAAAAGTTAAGAGTTTCCAAAATATTTCAAAATCAAAAAACATTTTTTTTTTTTCAAAAAATCAATGTCAAAAATTAATAGTTTCTCAAAAATCTATTTTTTTTCGAAGTAAAATTTTTTCTATTTAAAGTTAAAAAGAAGAAGTAAAATGTTAATCTATTTAAAATAAAAATAATTTTTGGTACGGAAAGTTTCAGCAATTTGCCTTAAGGCACAATGCCATGCGCCTCACTAGTTTAAGTTGAAAATTGAACCCAATAACGATTTGAGTTGATTGATTTGAGATGAGCTTATTTATCTGTGGGTCGAGCTGTTTCTTAATGTAAATTGCAACTCAATGATACATATTTTAACGAATGATTCCGTAAAAACCCTGAACCAAAGAATCATGTAAGGTATATCAAGTATCTTAAGAATTTTAAAATTATATTATTGACTTAAACTTAATGATCGATTGATTTATTTGCATACATCTAGATAATTTATATATGTATATATATATATATATATATATATATGTGTGTGTGTGTGTGTGTTGTGTGTACATTTACTTCATTTTGTTTTATATTGTAAAATATAATAAATTAACTTTGAATTAGGTCCTGAGTGCCCTAGGACTTAACGTCAAGCCTAAACGAGGTGTTGGCAAGTTTCATTACAAATTGACGAATTTAATCAAGATTGTAAAGTGTTAAATACCTGATAATTTAAATTTAAAAAAAAAACCTAAACATAACCCTATAACAACTAACGCATTCCGCTGACTTTCAGTTCAAGTGTTTCTCTCGCACATTGAAATTTGCGCGTATAACAAACATTTAAACTGATTTTGAGCAAAATGCTTCAGCAAAAACCATGTCATTTTTAGGTTTTTATTTTTTTACTCAAAATTTTTAAATAATAAAATTATCAAGTATTTCACCATTTTACAATCCTGAATAAATGCGCCAACTTTTGATGAAACTTGCTTTAGAAACACTCTTTGATAGATTTTTTTTTTAAAAAACAGGCCCTATCACAAAAAGTCTTAATTTTTGAAAACTTCAGAAAAGAAATGTTATTTACGGTTACGGTTACAAAGTTTAAATGAATAAAATTATTAATAGTTAAACGAAAATTAGTCATAATTTCACCAAAGCTCTAGGCTGCACTTAAAAGCTCATTTTCCAAACAGGGTGAGATTTTTTTTTCAGGACAGTTAAGGTCAATACTTTCACACCGTTTCGGTTCGACGTTAAGTTCTGGGACACCCTGTATTGTACGTATACTTACATCTTACATATATATGTATATATATATATATATATATATATATATATTATATATATATATATATATATATATATATATATATATTTATAATAGAGAATAAATATATAATGTTTAGTATTGGCGGTGTGACCTTTTGTCAATTAACAATCTTAATTATTTTTATATTTATATATTCGTATATAACATCAATTGCAAAATCTATTGTGGGTCTACTATTATCTATTGTAAATTAATAATGAATTTATTTGTTACTTACGATTTGGGGCCGCAGCCATCGCCATACCGCAGCATACCTCCAGCACTCCGACGACGCGTCGATACCATTTGGAGGGCAATTTGAAGTCTAAGGTCTGGCTTAACGGAAATACTTTTGCGTATTTTACATATTCTTTTCTCTGTAAGTTAAATAAAATTTCTTTATCAAAAATTTTATAACAATGTAAAATTTAAAGAAATGTCATTTAAGTTATGAATTACAAATGACAAATTACCGTGAGGTGTATTTTATGAA